ATGAAGCTGCCTAATTGTACGCCCAATGTAATCACAACAGTTGTATAGGGAGAGTAGTGAAGAAGCAGTGGGAAGACAATAAAGTGTTTTTATATAAAATCTGTATAAAAACTCAATGTTATTAATAAACAGTAATAGAGTGATAACAAAATAAGGATAACTATGGCAACAGTAAATTCACATTATAAAATGGAGCAAAATTATAGTAAGAACGTTACTCTGATCCCCGTAGAGCGAGTGAATGTGTGTAGTGCGTTTTGAGTGTAGAGGTCCAGTTTCAGATCCCGAATGGACAATGATTCAGCTATGTACAGATGGCGTATTCGAAGTTCTTTCGCACAATAGTGAGGGACTCTGTGTAGCACTGTGAAGCATTCATGAGGTGCGGGTGTTCGATTTCCAGAGTTCACAAGGTTTTCAAGGATGGAGGTGCTAATATTCTTTTCTCATCTGACTAGCTAAGCAAGATGGAAAATGTTCCAGAATACGTTTGTGGACTTGATGTTGCATATGGCCGATATATTTTGATCCATACGAACAAGTAAACTGGTAAATACACGCTGAGATGGCCGAAAGCGGTATCTTATCCTTATTTACAATGAATGAAAACCACTGTGAGATTCAATATAATAAAAGATTTTGTATTTCACAATGAATGAAAAACAAAATGAATATTGTTTTTACTGACTTTCGCTATTTAATGCTAACAGCTTTATCAAAGTAGTATTATTAAACCGGAATTTACAAAATGGAGATGGATTGGCCATACTCTGAGGAAACCATCAAGTGACATCACTAGACAAGCCATTGCTCGAGTGGAACCCGACTGAATGGGAAGCGGAGGGTTGGTCGTCAGTGCAATAGTGGGTGACTTGGAGGAGGTCATGTGAAGAGGAGATGAAAACGTGTGAGGAGACTTGGAGCCAGGTGAAGACTCTAGCAGAGAACCGAATGCAACGGAGACGCACGACTGAAGCCCTATGTTCCTGTAGGAATTAAAGGAAACAATAATAATAATTACAAAATCTCAGCATATATATAGCATTCCTTTACCCCGCTGAGACAATATTAAAAAAAGCTAGTTAAGAAGAAAGGCTGGGCATGAGGCTAGCACCCATCCTGTAAAATAAACACTGCTACATAAACTTCAAACCTTTAGCTTGAAGCCCTATGTTCCACTGGGGACGTGAAGGACTTACTACTACTACTAAAATAGACTTAGGTCAAGTTAAAAGGACATATTGAAAGTTAAAATAACAATGAAGATCACTAAAAATAGTACTATTACCTTTTTTATTTGGTTTAGTGATCTCCATTGCTATTTTTACTTTGAATATGTCCCTTTAACTTGACCTAACTTGTCTATTTTCTCACCGCTTAACTCTTTGTTATATATATGCTGAGATTTTGTAAATTCCGGTTTAATAATACTTTGATAAAGCTATTAGCATTAAATAGCGAAACGTCAGTAAAAACGAAGATATCGTTTTGTTTTTCATTCATTGGGAAACACAAAAACTTTTATTATAATGAATATCATATACCCAATGCCCAAATTTTTCAAACTGTTAAAAGTTAACTTGGTTTGGACATATACAGCCACTCTGAGATCTTTGTAACGTATACAAAAAGTATCTACGGGAACAAATCAATTAATCATTACTGAAGAAAGAAAACAAGCTTTTGAGAACAAAAAGATAAACTGGCATTTTTACAGGATAACACAGTAACCAAAAGGCTTTCTAATGTACAAACTTTGAAAAAGACAATGACGCTATCAGACAAACTGGACCAACAGTATTATCAATGTAAAAGGTAGCTCTGAAGTCGCTGTTGTTCTGTATCATAATATAGTCTCTAGTTTAGATAGAGGAGCCAAATATGTTCGGTGTGCCTTCCTCGATTACACATCTGCATTTGACTCTGTACCTAGGTCTCTCTTGCTAAGTAAGCTTGCTGCAACACAGAGTGAGAGCTGGATAAATAAGTGGTTGTATTCCTACTTTTCTGATAGAAAGCAGTACACCGTCTACAATGGAAAGTCCTCCACTACCTCACTTACTTTAGCTGGTGTTCCTCAAGGTGCTGTTATTTCTCCTTTTCTGTTTTCTTTTTTCTTACACGACTTGCCCCATTCTGATGTAGCCACTTTTGTCAAGTATGCTGATGACCTCTCTGTCTCCATGCCTGTCAACTCTCAGTCAGATTGTTCCAAGTTAAATAACTTTCTCTCGGAAATTAGTCAGTGGTCCTCTTCAAACGGTCTTAAGCTGAATCCGTCTAAATGTCAGGTAGTAAATTTCACTTCCAGACGAAAACGTGACCTACAACAACTAGCTAGCTCACATGGTCCCACTATCATTGACGGCATAGAGGTTGAAACTACATCTAATATCAAGTACCTTGGACTGAGTATTTCCTCCGATCTTTCCTGGTCCTCTCACATCTTGCTAGTGACTAGAAAGATGTTTCGCTTAACGTTCTACGTTAGGAAGTTAAGGCAGTCTGGTATAAAGCAGTCTTTGCTTTCTCAGTTTGTCAACTCTTGTATTCTAACCATCCCTCTTTACTGCTCCCCATTAATCTTTCCTGGACTACTTAAGAAAGACTTTGCTTTGCTGCGTAGGGCATTAAAAGCTGTTAATAGGGGAAGTGGGATTTCGTTAAACCAACTGGTTAACACCATTGTGGATAGACATGTAATGTCATGTAAGAAACTAGCGAATTCTATATTGTCAGACCCAGAGCATCCTCTCTTTACGCAGCTCTCCCCTTGCATTTCATCTGTTAGAACTAGAAGCAACTATAGGAGGCTATATGCCAGGACTACCAAGTACAAAAACTCCACAATACCTTATCTGGCACAGCTGTTATATGATGAGAAATCCGTTAGGTATGACACGATCAACTTACTGCGGCACTCTAACAAATAGTTCCCACTAGCTTTTGTTCTCCTTTCTTTGTTACTATTATATTGTTGCTCACATATTCTATTACACACTAATTTTATATTTCATATTCCTGTGGTGCATTGTTTATATATGTGAATGCAATGCTGTTCTTTTTATTTCTTTTATTTATTTTTTTTTTCTTTTTGTTGTTGTTGCTTTTTATTTTTAAAATCTTATAAAATTTATGAGGTAATTAGATGCAATATTGTAATGCACGCTGAAAATTCCATACCTGTACCACAAATACTGTTTGGAATAAAGCCATTATTATTATTAAAATGGCAGTTACTACACTTTGGGGTAATATGACAAATGCTAGAAGAAGCAAAATACAGTAAAACGGTTATTAGAAAAAAGTGAATAGGGTAAAGAATATTTATCTGGACAGTGGTACATGATAAAAAGGGACCTGACAGTCACTGATCATTAATTCTAAAGAACTCAAAGATGGACTGACACCTTCACTTTTTCTCACCACTTGTTAATTTCCAACAGTTGATTTGTGAGGAATACATTTGTTTTTCAAGTGTACCCATGGATTGATATCAGTTGGAGAACCATTGAAAACCAGCAGGCAGTACTGGACAGCTAGCTGTTTCATCAGCCTAGTTTGGGAATCATCGGCAGCACGCACCCAGACCACAGTGGGGGTTCGTTCCGGTTACAAGGCAAGCTAGCTCGTATACCATTCAGCCACTGAAATACGTTTCAGTGACCTGCCGATGAATTCTAACTTCTACCAATTCGTGATTTAGCATGACTCCGACCAATATCGTCGATGGGATATCCATCCTCACACGTGAAATCTGAATGGACCTCACTGGTTAGGACTTCTCAGTGGAACTTCAGGAAACTCCATCCTCTAGCAAGCAACTAGCGAGCATCAGATTAATTTTCTATACTTTGGTTTGTAAGGGTAAGTTATGTTTTCACGAGTTGATCAAGGATTTATATAAGTTAGAGAACGGCTGAAACACAAGGAGTACTTAACAGCCGTTTATGTAATCCAAGTTTGAGAATGACGAGCAGTAGGCACCCACACCACAGTGAGGGTTCGAACCCAGGACGTTCCGAATACAAGGCAAGCTAGCTCATATACCATTAAGCCACTGAGATCCAATTCAATAGCCAGTCCATGAATTCTAACTTATTATTAACTCTTTTCCAGTCCAATGCCTTTTTTTGTGGCTTTTACAGCCTTTCAAAGAAGGTAGTGAATCAAAATGCCTAACCGATGTCTGAACTATATCAATAAATAAAGTTTGAAACCTCATTTAATGACTTCCTGCGCCTACCTTACCTTTGAACAAGGAAATCAATAAGAGTATAAACGGTTAATCAACAGCAATAGAACCGATTAGCATTGAAATATTTAGGAAATTTAGAAAATGTGAGGATCGTCTTTGATAAAATAGGAAAGAGAGAAAAAGAGAAAGTTTTATAGTTGAATATAAAGATTAAAATTGTTTCCTTTTAGTGTTTCGGGAAGTATAACGACGCCAAATGAGCTACTGTAGAAAACTACACTGCAACAATAAATCAATTCTAGTGTGTACGTGTGTGTGTTTGTCTGATTTGATGCTATTTAAGGTTAAGAGTTTATTATTATTATTATTGTATCCTTTAATTCCTAGAGGAACATAGGGCTTCAGCCGTGCGTCTCCATTGCGTTCGGTTCTCTGCTAGAGTCTTCACCTGGCTCCAAGTCTGCCCACACGTTTTCATCTCCTCTTCACATGACCTCCTCCAAGTCACCCTCGCACTGACGACCAACTCGCCGCTTCCCATTCAGTCGGGTTCCACTCGAGCAATGGCTTGTCTAGTGATGTCACTTGATGGTTTGTTTCCTCAGAGTATGGCCAGCCAATCCATCTCCATTTCTTCCTGCCTATTTGTTTCACAATCGGTTCCTGCTGTGTTGGTTCGCTCATTGCCAGAGATCCCTCTCTGTTGCTGATCTTTTCTGGCCGGCCATCTGATCTTGAGTTGTATTGAGCGAAGACAACTGTTGATGAAGGTCTGTAGTTTGTTTGAGATGCTCTTTATGACGCGCAGTGCAAGTCTCCGATCCGTATAGTGAGTAGCACTGACTTCACATTGGAGTTGAAAATCCGGATCTTATTTTTGATGCTGAGTGCTGTTGACCTCCACACAGACTTGAGAGTAGTGAAAGCTTGTCTTGCTTTTCCGATTCTTGCTTTGATATCCTCGTCAGTTCCGTCCGCCTGTAGTTGAAACGATGCTTCCCAGGTAGGTAGGTAAAAGAGGTTGTTTCTTTCAGGTTCCTCCCATTTATGCTGATTGTTGTCTGTTGTTGTTGTTGTTGCTGTTGGTGGTGTTGCCCAGGAATTTTCATCACCTCTGTTTTCTCTATGTTCACCTGAAGTCCTATCTTTGATGCTTCTTCTGCCAACTTGTTGCTTTTCGCTTGCATATCTTCCAGTTTGTGGGAAATCAGACATATATCATCGGCGAAGTCCAGATCCTCCAAGTTTTTTGTGTGAGTCCATTTTATGCCTGTTTCCTCATTGCCCACTGTTTGTCGCATTATCCAGTCTACTGCAATCAGGAAAATCATTGGCGATAGTAGGCAGCCAGCCAGCTTGTCTTACTCCTGTCTTCACTTCGAAGGGTTCCGTAAGTTTCCCGTTGTGGATTACTTGGCATGCAGCATTGTCATACAGCTGTTGGATGAGATGTATAATTGTCGGTGGCACCCCGTAGTAGCGAAGTAGTTGCCAAAGCACCTCTCGATCGACGCTGTCAAAGGCCTTTTCAAAGTCGATGAAGTTGAGATAGAGAGGTGACTGCCACTCCAAGCTTTGTTCAATGATGATCCGTAATGTGGCGATCTGATCAATGCATGACTTGTTTCTCCTGAATCCAGCCTGTTCCGGTCGAAGTTTTTCATCCAGGGCATGTTTGATTCTCTCCAGGATGATGCGGCTTAGTATTTTGCTTGGGATGGACAGGAGCATAATTCCGCGCCAGTTCTTGCATTGACTTAAGTCTCCTTTCTTTGGTAGTTTGAATAAGTATCCTTTCTTCCAATCCTCGGGTACTTTGCCTTCTTTCCACACCTTCTCCAGTAGTGGCGTCATCAAGTCCGCTGTTGTCTCTGGGTCCATTTTCAATGCTTCTGCTGGGATTCCATCTAGTCCTGCTGCTTTTCCAGCTTTTAGCATCTTGATTGCCTTCAGGACTTCTGATTTTGTCGGGGGGTTGGTGTTCACTGGTAGCTCTGTCTCCGTTGTTGGGCGCGTTGTAGGTGGTGGTCGATTTAGGAGTCTTTTGAAGTGTTCAGCCCAGTGTTTCCTTTGCTCCACTTCTTTGGTGAGTGACTTTCCATTGTCATCCTTCACTGGCTTAATTTGTGTCAAACTTTTGCCCGATAGGTACCTAGTTGTTTGGTAGAGTGTTGCGAGGTCTCCTTTGCCTGCAGCTTGTTCTGCTTCACTTGCCATGGTTTCATAATACTTTCTTTTGCCTTCCCTGGCACTCTTCTTAACTCTTTTGTTCAGTGTCTTGTAGTTTGCATTCAAATCCTGTTTTTGTTGCTCATCAGTGGACTGGAGAATCTTTTGTTTCACCATCCCTCTCTCTTCTATTAGTTTCCAAGTGTCCGTAGTGAGCCATTGTTTGTCCTGTCTCTCCTTTCTGCCTAGAACTTCCATGTAGGTTTGACTCCACACTGTCTTCAAGTTGTTCCAGTGCTTTTCGACGCTGACCTCTTCGCCAGTGTTGATTTGTGTCTCGGCTTTGTCTTTTATACTTGCAGTGAAGATGTCCTTTGTGTCCTGGTCCCTCAGTTTTTGAGTGTTGAACTCTGCTTTTGGTCTATCTGCAGCTCCTGATTATCTGAAAGCTTTAAATTTGATTTGGATTGTCCCTTGTACTAGATAGTGGTCTGAGCCAACGTCTGCTCCTCTTCTTACTTTTGTGTCCGGCAGGCTGCGTCTCCACTTCCTTGAGATTGAGATGAAGTCGATTTGGTTTTCGGTTCGCCCATCTGGTGACACCCATGTAGCCTTGTGGATATCCTTGTGTTTGTATACGCTGCCACCAATCACCAGTTCATTGAAAGCGCAGAAGTCGGCGAAGAGTTCTCCGTTTTCATTCATTTCTCCGAGAGCTTCTCTACCCATGATGAGTCCCCTTCCTGTGTTGTCTGATCCCAGTTTGGCGTTCATGTCTCCCATTAGTATTTTGATGTCACCAGCTGGAGTACTGTCCATTGTTGTCTGTTTGTAAACTTTACCTGAAAAGTGGCAATATTCAACAACTAGGAGAGAATAAAGCATGCACTGGATACAGAACTCCGCCAACCGGAACAAGCTGGATTCAGGAAAGGCGAATCATGTGCTGATCAAATTGCAGCTCTACACATCGTGATTGAGCAAAGCATAGAATGGCGGTTAAACCTCACCCTACCTCAACTTCATCGACTTCGAAAAGGCCTTCACCAGACAGCTTAGACCGAGAAGTAATTTGAAAACTACTTCAACACTATGGCGTACCTCAAGTCTCTGTCAATCTCATTTAACAGCTATATGACAATGCCATGTGTCAGGTGATCCACAAAAGAAAACTCAGAGAGGCGTTCGAAGTGCATACAGGAGTAAGACAAGGCTGGCTGCCTACTGTCACCAATGGTATTCCTAATTGTGGTGGACTAGATTATGCGTCAGACTGTTGAGGGCGAGGAGTCAAGAATACGCTTGATGGCTGATGAGAAGACTCTAGAAGATATGGATTTAGGAGATGATATATGTCTAATGTCACACAAACTCGAAGACTTGCAGGTGAAAAGCAACAAAGTGGCTGAAGAGGCAGCGAAGACAGGACTGCAGGTGAACACAGAGAAGAAGGAGGTGATGAAGATGACCAGTCAACAGCAACAACAACCAGCACCAATCACCATCAACGGAAGAGATTTGAAGGAGGTTGCCTCCTTCACTTGCCTCCAAAGCCTCAGGATGGTCGGGGGTGCGTGCCTTGCGCTGCGGGTTGGCCACCCCTCCGCACACCTCTTGAAATGCTCCCATATGACCGGGCGTCTTACATAGCCTCTCCTGAGGAAGTCCTACTCACTGCCTTCACGTGGCGGAGGTGTTTTTCACCAAAGTGAGAGGGCGAAAGCGGATGCCCGGCGCTCTTCACCGGGTTGACTGTCCATTGGATGACAGTCTAGGGGAGATGGCTAAACCCTGATTCCAAACCTCCAACGACTGGCGTATGAAGCTCACTGGAGCTCACCGGCAGACGTATGGACAAAGGGCTTGTTGGATGTCCTGGATGTCTGGCCCCATTCAAAAAGGCGTATGAACCGAACTCCGGTCACCGGCTGCCAATGGATAGTGGACTCCCTACTCCACTCCTACTGCCTTGTAGGTCACACTCGGTTGTGTAAAGGCTAGAGCTGCACTCTCAAACAAAAGGCCGAGCGATTCTGGGGACATCACTCGTACCGGTCGGTCGGTTTTCGACATAGAACTTTGCACATATGTGCGGCAGTTCAAGTCGCCACAATCTATGTAGCACGCAAAGCAAGAGAAGGAAGTAGAAGAAATGCATAATATAGACAGTAAACAGAGGTGTGAGACAAAGGAATAGTAATAACGGAGAACAAAACAGTTTAATTGGAAATCATAAGTCACAAGGAGTGGATGCATCACTCGTAGCAAATTCCCATGAAACTTCATGAACTCTCTTCATCAGATCGCCGCGCCTGGGCAGCGATGATTCGAGATGTTCATGAAGCCGGCTCATCCTCCCGTAGGAGATAGCCGAAGTAAAGTAAGTAAGTAGCCTCCTTCACTTATCTGGATAGCATCGTTTCAACTACATGCGGAACGGATGAAGGTGTCAAAGTCAGAATTGGAAAGGCACGATATACCTTCATCAACCTGAAACCAGTTTGGAAATCTTCTGCACTCAGCATAAGGAACAAGATTCGCATTTTCAACACTAATGTCAATTCGGTTTTTCTACACGGCTCAGAAACTTGCACTGTGTATCACGTAAAGGATTTCCAACAGCCAGTTGCAGGCTTTAATCAACAGCTACCCGCTTCGCTGGCCAGTAATAAGACTGGTAAAGAGGAAAGGTTGGATATGGGGCTAGCTACACGATCCCGTAAAATTGAACACCACGGCTACCGAAACTTCAGGCCTCTAGCTTGAAGCCCCCTATGCTCCACTGGGAACATGAAGGTATAAAATCAAAAGGCCTAATGAATTACTCCTTGTTTTCGTGAAGAATATTTGTTCAAATCTTCAATTTAGTTTATATTTTTGTATTGTTCACGTCATAAACAGTTGAGGAGAATCATTTAATTGAATTTCGGATTTTCCCGTCGATTGATTGGATCGCAGTGCTCGGTTTCAGGTTGACATGTCTGCTTCTTGTGCAGATGCTTCGATGACGTCTGGGCATGTAGTTAGAATTTAAATGGTGAATGCTGACTAGCAGTGGAATCCGGTGGAACCAATCAGATTCAAATTAAATGCCCAAACATCGTTGAAGCATCTGCACAAGAAGCCGACATGTCAACCCGAGACCGAGCACTTCAGTCCAGTCAATCGGCGGAAAAATCTAAAATTGAATTAAATAATTAATATGACCCGTTGCACAAGAGGCAGTGGCTCTCATTGTTTAGTGGATAACGCCTCGGCGTTTGAAACTATGGACACTGGGTTCGAGCCTCGGTGGAAAAATCATCACTCACTGGGGTATGCAGGCACATCCAGATGACGAGCCTCAAACAGGACGAAATACGCGTTATCCTGGATTATTCCATTGCTAGTCACTACCCACCAATTAAATTGAGAAGAATCCTAGAAATAATAAAAGATAAGCCTATATTATCCGAGTACATCTGTCGAGACTGTTTTGTTCAAATTTACTAAAATGTTGACTGTTAATTTGATTCAGGCATATAGGGATCTTCAAGATATTGACGGTTAATGGTTGGAGACTATTGATGACATTTTTCTCAAAAAATTTCCACAGATTCATTCATTCATTCATTCCATCTTTTGTAAACTCCCGAATCCGCTGAATCTTCCTTACTGTCCATGAAATTGTTTGTTTTATTTCTTATCCCATAAAAATTCCGTTCACTTTTTTTCCTTATCTTTTCACGTGCACTTTTATGGAATGAAGTAGAACCTGAACGCCTGTACTATTGTACAAATTCACTTTCTTTCTCTACCCTTGCCTAACTAAATATGAGTCTGCCTCCCCCTCCCCGCCGCAGCCAGTCGATCGATTAATTGTACAAAATGACTATTAATCATAACATTAGTATAAATAATAATAGTTATTATTATTTATACTTTAGTATATACACAGAGTATGTTGTGAATGCTTCACTGAATTCTAATAATGACCAGTGCATATATATCACTTTTTTACAGTCGAAAAAAACCATCACAGGACAGTTAAGATTTATATGCTAACCAACATACTGGTAAATCAATGATTTAATATGCACACATAATTACTGCATAAAAAATGTCATTGCATAAACGGGAATTCCAATGCTAACTGGATTTATATAAATTATGATC